TTATGTGACAGATGTTTTCTTAGATGGTTTTGCTGATAACGAATATTACCAAATGGGAGCCATTAGTTGGGATAAAATGCAAGGACAATCCCCTTTTCATAGTATTACTAATGCACAATTTGGTTTTTCTGATGTAAGTTTATTGATTAAAAAAAGGTCCTCGGTGGTTGAGTGGTCTTTTTAGTTCAGTAACAGTGATAAAATCATGTCAATATAGAGCCTGTCAGTTTGAACTCAGTACCTGTCAAGATGTTTTAGACTTCAGTTCTAGTCAAATAGTATTGCAAGTTTAACTGCCTGCGAATAGCACAGAATAGAGACGAAAGATACCAAAGGGATGACGTCAAACACAAACTGACAAATCCATGACAAAATAAAAACAAAAAATAGACGAAAAGACAAACAGTACACACAATAGCATAGAGAAAGCTAAAGACTCAGCAACATGAACGCCACCGAAACTGGGTGAGATCTTAAGTGCTCAAGTGCTCAGCGAGGGTAAGCTGATCTAGCTTCACACACTAATATGTACCACATGTGAAAATAGGCGATAACCATCAACAATCAATCTAGTGTAATACATTTTGGACAAAATATATCAAAATTATCGAAAAAGTATACCAGCTCTATGTAAACCAATGGACAGTACCATGTTAATGGGGTCTATAGCTAAGTTGTAACAGCGTCAGACATACTATATTATTACTTTTGTTTTAACTGGACCAAATGATTATTTACCTACAACTCTGTCATCACATCAATAGTCTATGCTGGCTATTGATATTGAATAAGATAAGGATGTCCATGCTTTATTAAAAACACATTTTTATAAGAATTTTATAAATTTATAGAATTTGAATAAAGTACATAAAAGCAGAAAAAAAGAAAGGTCCTTGTTCTTGTTTTTTTTATATATTAGTCATTTAAATATTTGCATGAAATCATTTTTTAAAATGTGTTATACATTTAACATCGGCACATTTTTTTCTTTTAAAGATATTTGTTTTTGAAATATCAATAATAAATGTAAAAAACTCATGAAAGGATTTGCAAGGATCAAAGAAAAGAATTCAAAGATTCTGTTACAGGGATTTTGCACTCAATGACTGTCATGTCTTTTCATATCATACATTTACAGATATTTTTACCGAACTCGGTATATTATTGTCTTTTGGTACACTTCTATTCTATTTTAGATACCCATGTTTTTCCCTACCACAGCCAATCAACGGAAACTTATGATTACAAGGCATGACATGTCTTATTATACAATACATTTACAGTACTTTTTACGGAATTTAGTATAATATTGTTATTTGGTTCACTTCTAGCTACCCTTTAGGTACACATGTATGTACGGCAGTCGGCATATGATTGTTATTCTGTACACATTTATATTTTTCTACCACAGCCTAGCGAAGGAAACAGAGTCAAAGGCATTCTTTTGGATGAAACGCAACGAACTGGTGACGATATCCGAACATTCAGAGATATGGATAACTCGATGATTGGCCTTGATGTTTCAGATGACTCAGTCGTTACAGTTCTAAGTCCTGAAGCCTTCCACATGACAGACGAATGTAAGATTAGGTCAAATTGGAACTTTGGATATTGCGAAAATGCTTTCGGTAAAGTAAGTGGTTATCTTTTTTTCATAATTGTAGCATGATTCATAATTGAAAAAAAGTAACAATTATGCAAAATCTCAATAAAGATATGAGGCTAAAAATTTGATACTCCAGACTCACCATACTCATCAAAAGTGCTTCAATAAAACGAAAAGTAGTGCAAAGGCACGTACAGAGAAGAAGAACATTAACAGCAAAAATAATACAAAATAAACGGTAGAATATATATATATATTGTTCTTCTCTGGCCTGGATTTGAACTTATGCTACTGAGATATCGTGGCACCAAATCGCGTTGCACTGTGCCCGACGCGCAAGACCACTCGACCATCTAGAGCCTAGACCACACGGCCAGTTACACTTAACTATATAATTCAGCTTTCGTTGGGCTCGTGTTACCTTTCCTCGTCATTAGAATCTAGATTTGTAACACAGTACATGATATATTAGGCATGAAGATGGAATTGAATGCAGATTAGCTAAATATCTATCATGAAGGACCGTAACATGCAGTCACAGAAATAATTAAGTACGTCTAAACAAGTGAATCTACGACAGATCCATCCATATGATCACCATTGAATGTGATACACGACTGAACACACATATTATATTCATAATTACTCAAAATATCAGCACAACAATGATAAATCTGCAAATTTGCGAAAGCATATATCGATATATCATAAACGATTCCATTAAATTTAAATAAATGAAACAAGCATGTGCATATAAAAAAATAAAATGTGATATGGTTGCCAATGAAACAAATTTCCACCAGAGACCGATAACTGGGGTTTAACATACTTGAAAACGCATACCCTCCTAACCTTGGACAGTGGTCACAACACAGGAACAAACTACCAAATATGAAGCGAAGAAAGAGTAAGAGAAACAGCAATGAACAACAAGCACTGATAAAATATTTGTCAAAAAATCCCGTAAAAAAAAACCAACTTGAATATGGTGGTCGATTTTTTATGGTCTCGGACTTTGATATTTCCGATTATGAAATGGCAAATCGTAAGAACTAATTGTCCGAAGAGAAACAAGTAACTGATAACAAATAGCTAAATATAGGTTCCTCTTCATATAACTAAAAGTGCAAGGGACTATTTTCTCTTTTGAATATATTACCCATTATGCAAGGAACGATTTCCTCTTTTACATATATTACCCAGAATTATTTTGATTTTGTTATGGCGAAAAGCTTTCCAAATTGTATTTCTTAATAAAAACAAGTTATTTTTTTTACCAGTTAGCTATAAAGTACCCCTCAGATAACGTTTTAACGATGACAAGGGACGATGATTACGAGACCGCCCGAGTGGATGCTGATTCACCAGGTGATGCCAGCTTTCTCGTCATAACAGGAGAAAGTTACAGTTATTCTATGTATTTTGAAGATGAAGTTCCGAAAGAATTCGGTATACTAATGGTCGGACTGTCAAAGTAAGTTGAAAGAAATTAATATGGAGCAGATTCTCAAAGAACGTTTTGAAAAAAATTAACATTAGAATGGCCGTATTGTCAAAGTAAATTTTATAAAAAGGATCGGATTATCAAAGTAGCTTCCAAATGAAATCATCAATTTGAAAATTATTGGAATGGCAAAGTTAGTCCACACTGGACGTTATGCAAACAATAATCAATCAATGAATTGAAATAAGTCCTTTAATTTTTTCATATAAAATGATCAGATTGACAAAGATAGTTTTCCTTCATAATATAGTAATGTCTTTTGGTTATTGTCAAAGCAAGTTTTTCTACATAATATAGTAATGTCTTTTGGTTATGATCAAAGCAAGTTTTTCTACATGATATAGTAATGTCTTTTGGTTATTGTCAAAGCAAGTTTTCCTACATAAAAATTAGATATAAGAAGTAGTGGTACGAGTGCCAATGATACGACTCTCCATCCAAAGCACAATTTGTAAAAAAAAACCAAAACAATATAGGTCAAAGTACGGTCGTCAACACGGAGCCTTGGCTTACACCGAACAGCAAGCTATAAAGAACCCCAAATGTAATGCTTCTTTGTTAAATATTTGTTTGTTTTTGTTGTGATTAAGATTGTGACACGGCGTTGACTGCTGTACCCCTATTTGGACATTTTTACCTATTATGTCTGTTTGTTTATTCAAGCATCGTTGTCAATATAATGGAATTTGATGCGACTGTCATAGTGACACAAGTGAGAGGTTTAGCGCTATAAAACCAGGTTCAATCCACCATTTTCTACAAAAGAAAATGCCTGTACCAAGTCAGGAATATGACAGTTGTTGTCCATTCGTTTGATGTGTTTATGCTTTTGATTTTGCCATTTGATTAGGGACTTTCCGTTTTGAATTTTCCTCGGAGTTCAGTATTTTTGTGATTTAACTTTTAAGCTATTTGTGTCGTTATCTACTGACGTTTTAATAAGTTGATATATCATACAAGAGTCGGAGAAGTTTTCTAGTCGAATACCTTATGTATTGCGTAATTAAACCAAATATAAAAAAGTCATGGATAAAAAGAAAAATACAAACACAATAAAGTACACATCACAACATAGAAAACTAATGATGAAAATGTGATTTCATCCAACTTGTACACAGAAATATTCTGTACTTTTTTATTTGTTTTTACATATGAAAAATGTTAGGCGAAATATACCAAACGGACATTCAAACTCATAAGTCGAAAATAAACTGATACCGCCACGGCTTAAGAAAGAAAAAAAAAACAAGCAATAGAACACAAAACACAACAGAGAAAACGAAAGACTGAGCAATACGAGCCCAACCACAAACTGGGGGTGATCTCGGGCGCTCCGGAAGGGTAAGCAGATCCTGCTCCCTATAAGGCACCCATCGTGTTATTCATGTTAGCAGAAACCCGTTATGCCTATCTCAGTATTATTTCTCAATTTGCAAGGATGCAGAATTTTCATTTTGACGATTCACTAAACAGTGTCTTTCGAAAATATTCTTAATAAGAACAACAGAATTTATTGTGAATACATCAATTAGATGGCTAGCCAATGACAAACGTAACAATACAACATTTAGTATGGCGTTCATTATCACTGAACTAGTATATATATTTGTTTAGGGGCCAGCTGAAGGACGCCTCCGGGTGCGGAAATTTCTCGCTACAATGAAGACCTGTTGGTGACCTTCTGCTGTTGTCTGTTCTATGGTCGGGTTGTTGTCTCTTTGACACATTCCCCATTTCCATTCTCAATTTTAACATCTATAGGATAGTTTTCAAAAATGGACAGATGTCTACACCTTACGATAGCTGTTTGCTAAATGACATTTTGATTTAATTTCTGGATCAATCTTTATACAAAATATGTTTTTTCACATGATTTGTCTCTTCTTCCAGATCACAAGGTGTACGATTAGGAGTGTGTATCCCATCCGATGCTACTTTTAGAGTGTTTGGAGGAATGGTGAAATGGGCAGCCGTAGATTCTTTAAGCGACGTTGATGCGATCGGAGACTACTTCTACGATTCCGATACTGGGTTTGTGTTGCTATTGTTGTTTCATTATTCTATAGTCTGAAATAACAAATTATTTCTTCATGATATCTTAATAGCCAACACTTATCGTTTATATTTTTATAAGCATAACACAGCAAGTAAATCCCTCTAGAATAAAACCACTTATTCATAGCTCCATGGATAGCTAAGTAAAATTCTTTAATATCAAGCATTATTGGCTATTTTTTCTTCAGTTCAAATAAAGTGGCAGTCATTTCATATCGAAACTATACCTTATCCCGATTGGTGCTAAAAAATTAAACAAACCTTTAATTGCATATTAGAGCGCACTGGTTCCTGGAAGTTTGATAATAGATATATATGTACTTTAGAACTGGTGTTCACTCCAAGATAATTTAATATATTTTTTTAATATGCAAAAAAACTTTTAACAGTTCAACAGTGATCCCAAGTGCCTATGCTTCCATTTCATACCAAAATTACCTAAATATTTTACTTATTGACAAAGTTACAGCTCTGCGTAGGAACTATTTTGTTTAAAATATGTATTACTTTCTTATATGTTTTTTTTACTGACCGACCCCAATTAGTGGTTTTATACCTATAAGGGCATGGACATGAAAAGTAGTTACACTTTTAAAGAATAGAAAATTAACTGCTGGTTGATTGCCAGTCCATGACATGATTTCTTACATAACTACTTCTTTAATAAATGTAGAACTTTTTTATTTAGAAATTAAGGTTCACAGTCCCTCGGCCAATTTGACCTCATGTGAATAAGACTATTTCCTTTTAGGTCCCCTATGGTCATGCTAAAAGTAAACCTCGAATGCGCATTGGACACACCAAATTCATAAAAAATTACTGTCATCATACAATAGTATGAAGTAATAAAATGTTACGATTTATACCTGTCTTTTTGCATACCTTTTTAAATTTGTTTCTGTTTTAAAACCATGTTCTCTAAATACGTAGGTACCTTGCTGTATTCCTTTCTGATTCGAGAGATTTTGAACCAGGAGAAGTAGGTGAATGTGTTGGAGAGGGTGAAATGTGTAGAAGAGTAATGATAAAAATTGAAAATGGCGATTTAACTCAGACTGACTGTTTAAGTGCTGCTCATGAAAAATTTAACCTTTCTTCTAGTTCGGTAAGTTTATTCTGCAAAGTTTAGGGTTATGAAATAGGACGACTGTCAATCATCATTTTGAGAAACAAAAATACCGACTCCCAAGAAAAATTCAAATCAGAAAGTCCATTATCAAATGGCAAAATCTCAAATACATCAAACGAATGGACAACAACTGTCATATTCATGATTTGGTACAGGCATTTTTATATGATTGATTGATTTTTCAGTGGAATTTAAATCATGCTTTTATATGGCTATAAAGAAGCAGCTGGACGATACCAAGTTTCAATAGAATGTGCATCAATACATAAAACAATGTCCAATGTAAGGTCATTATTTACCCTGATTACAATACCAGATAGTGTAGTTTGTCATATCGAGGTTTGGCCAAATTTGGTTTAATTGTACAATGTTACATCTGAAATATTTTGTGAAAGTTTAACGGCAGAATCAATTTATCAAAATAATGCGTTATCGCATAGTTAGTTTAACTTTCAACAAAAATGAAGCAAAGTTCAGTCTGTAAAGTTTACGCTGTAATAAAGGGATGTTACATTAGATAACATTGATAATGGAAAACTTTGTATAACACTTTTATAACAAATCATTTTTTCTCACTCGCATTTATGAATAGGAATATGAAAAATAAGTATAAAATTGTGTTAATTGACTTTATTCAATATTAGTACTGTAGATTTAAATTTATGGTCTTTCTGTAGAATAATGACTTGCACATTTGTGTCTGTGTGTTTAAGGTATATCAGCATAATGTTAATTGAACAGAAATATTAATATTGTTCTCGGGTATATCCGTGCGGATGAATGTCCAACATCTGCAATGATTGATAAATAAATTATGAATCCTATTATATTTTACTTCTTTCAGTCCGAATCTCGAAGGAGACTTACAACATTACTTGAACTACTTAGTAAAAGACTTAATCACGGAAGCAGACAAAAACGAGCCGTTGACACTGCTGGAGTGATTGATACCAGAGAACTTCCTGCTACTGCTAATGAACCACCTGCGGTAAAAAATTCTTTTTAAGAAATAGTCCTCCAATTTAAAATGGTTAAAATTTCAATTCATATCGTCTATATTTCTGAATTCGCTTTTTTGAGAAAGACCACCGTTTTTTTAAAGATCGTTTACAAATTATATATCATCTAAAAATTGTAACAGAAACATAATGCACCACCAGCATCTCGTGTAATATGATATGTCTCCAGTCTCGAGACAGTTTAATTTTATATATGAAAAACATTCGAGAAGCCTTGTTTTATAGATTGGGAGAAATGCCAAATCACACTCCATGAAATGATAAAATCAATGTTAAAATGTATTTATGTATTTATCACAGCTGTTATGATACCTTAACAATACAGTGAAACCTGTCTAAACCGAATCTTGCATAAATCAAAAACATGGCTAAATCAAAGATGTTATAAAATCCAGTCATATCAAATGGTATGCGTTAAAAACCTGATAAAATCGGACATCTGCCAAACCGAAAGAAATCTTAAGTCCCGAAGAGGTTTATTTCAGACAAGTTTCAATGTAAATAATATTTCATTGCTGTTAATTTAACGCACACTACTACGGTTCTACGAGAATTCAACTTAGATTGCTTTGCATAAAGTGTAGCTAGCTTAGCATTTAGCACGAGAAGTTATTTATTAAATCTGCTTTCGTTTTACTGTCAGATCTTTCATGATATGAAAATAAAAACATGTTATAAGATTGTCAAAGAGACAACCCTCCAACAAAGACCAAATGACATTAAAGGTAAACAAGTATAGATCATCGTACGGCCTTCAACAACTTGGCTTCTTTTTATATTATTTTTGCATATGCATAAAGCTGTAATGAACTAGTATTCTACTTATTGTATTTAATTGACACGAGACAACTCATGTGAGTCAGATTTTTAAATGTAATTTTTATTAAAACGTTTTGTATTTCTTTTCAGAACTGGGGAGCAGGCTCAACTAGAGGATAATAGAATACACAGTGTCTCATAATCCAAATTTCAAATGCAAAAAATCGTACGAACCAAATCTGTTTCGTTGTATCAATAATAAAGTGTGTGATTTATATACGCCTTTTTCTGTTGACGTAAATATCAACCGAACGTTCGAGACCCTCTTGGATAGTCAAGGTCGTTAAACATTCCCTAGTAGTAGACTTTCTATGTTGCAATGTTACACTATTGTTTCAGGGAAGAGTGAAGGTTGGTACTATTAAAACGTTTAAACCTGCTGCATTTTTTTTGCACCTGTCCTAAGTCAGGAACCTGATGTTCAGTGGTTGTCGTTTGTTGATGTGATTCATAAGAGTTTCTGTTTTTTTTTATATAGATTATATCGTTGGTTTCCCTGTTTAAATGGTTTTACACTAGCCCTTTATAGTTTGCTGTTCGGTGTGAGGCAAGGCTCCGTGTTGAAGACAGAAAAGAGACCTATAATAGTTTACTTTTACAAATTGTGACATGGACATGTTGGATGGAGAGTTGTCTCATTACCACATCTTATTATATCTATTACAGTCCCTGTAACGTAAAAGTTAACACTTTTTTCATTCGGGAATCGTACGTGTAGCGTTCGGGAATCGTTCGTATAGAGTTCGGTCATCGTTCGTACATCATTCGTATAGCGTCCGTACAACGTTCGGTCAGCGTTCGTTCATCGTTCGTTCATCGTATGGTAAATGTCATCGTTTAGGGTTTTGTATATCGTATGTTTCATGGTATCGTTCAGCGTTTTATTTGTCGTATGGTACATGGTATGGTTTAGCGTTTAGCGTTTCGTTTATCGTATGGTATATGATATCGTTAAGCGTTTCATCTATCGTATGGTATATCGTTTTGTTAAGCGTCTGATATATGTTAGGGTTTTCTTTCTGAAAGTTGTTTTGAGTTAAAATAGTTTAATATAAAAAGATGCGGGATAAAAAAAAATTATTAGATTGGATTGATTGATAGTTGGTTGCGTACTTGTATATTTCAAACAACCAAGCGGATGCCCCACTTTGGCAAGGTTTTTTTTTTACCGCCAGCCGTAAGAAAACCTTTAGTGACCATATTTATATCCTTTTGTCACCCTTTGGACTATATTAGATTGGAAAGATTGGATTGGAAACATTTCACTTGTTAATTAAAGCAAATAAGTTATCTTATTTAGTATATATTTTGTTTCATACTAATTGCGTAGTTCTTGATGTCTTTTTGCAATTTTGAATCATTTCAAATTCGATCTTATAAAATGTTAAAAAAAAAATAACCTAAACAATACCCTAAGTTAATTGAAACGTGAACTATTTATTTACATAAAACTTATTTAGTCGTAAAAATAGTATTGGTTGTAAACGTTTTATCTTGATTGAAAAACGTTTAGTAATGCAATAAACTTACTTTAAATGTACTATAACTTAATGTAGATTTCGAACTGTATACCATTTCTTACCGATAGAAAATAATCTGCAACTACTATCATTATGGAATACCCTGCTATATAAATCAAAGGGGAAACATTTCCTTCCATCACATTTTGACATGAATAACATGAGACCAAATACCGCGAAATAAGTCTCTCTCTTTCTTTCTCTCTTCTCCACCAAATATTTCTCTGATCCAAATATTTCCTTGAAACAATAAATTATATATACTGTTCTATAAATGAGGCTTTATATATGAGATACACGTTTTATATCTACATGTATTAAAAAAAAGACAGGGCATCCATGGTATTTGTTCTCCTCAATGACAGAGTCTGATATAAACCGAAAATTGCCAGGGATATTATAGTAAAATTCTTTGAAGACTTATATGGAACCAGAGTCGCTTGTGATTCCTGCTGTCGGTGTTAAAACGGTTATTTTGACTGTAAAAAGTGCTTAAGTCCATGTATGATGATAAAGAATTAAAAAATAACTCTACCTTTTTTTTATATTTCTTTATTTTAGAGGTAAGCTTCTGGCCAAGTATCACCAATTTTAACGAAAATCATTTACCCTAAATAACCAATCAATTGTATTCTTAAAGTTGTTGATTTGTTCTTTGTACAAATACATGAAATATTTGTCACTGGACGTTATGCATGCAATCGATGATCAAATACAAATCTACAGTATTTATACGCATAATCATACTGCAATTGTATATATGAAAGAGATTAAATAATATAACTTTTAATTATTTTACACATATTTGAAGGATCGAAATATACAGTTCTACAAATGGTTTTTATTGAAAGACTTAAAATTTTACAAATATCACATGCCTCTGAAATTTCGTATCGACGCACCAAACTATTTCCTTTTATCATGCATAGCTCATTTTCCAATTAACTTAAGGTTTTTAACAATCTTCTTACTTGTTCATTACATTCTAAAATTAAAATCCTACACAAATTGCCAAAACTTTTATTCTCAGGCTAGACAGCGTAAATGATGAATACTGTTTTGTTAGTGTACACACGGTGTTTGAAGGCCGATCTCCAATTTCGCTGAAAAATAATGAATAATTTGCGCCACAACTTAATTACGCCAATTCTGTTTTTGCATCACTTTATTTTAAAAGAGGGACGAAAGATACCAGAGGGACAGTCAAACTCATAAATCGAAAAAAAAAACTGACAACGCCTGGCTAAAAATGAAAAAGACAAACAGACAAAAACTGCAGCATTCATTTACACCAATAAAACAAGCATTTAATTGCAAAAATGTTATAGACTTATTTGCAAATTGTTGTTCTTAGTGTACAGAGGAGGTCCTTTGCGGTATTTATACGGACAAATAGAAATATCGCAAAGGGCCTCCTTAGTGGACTAAGAACAAAATATTGCACTAAGGACCTGGTGGAATGATAGAATTGACACAAAAAACATTGCATATAGAAGGAGATTTTCGAAAAGTACATAATTTTAAATTTTATAATCATATCTTTAGTAATTATAAAGTTATTTAATGTTTTATCGACACGCACCACCCTCCGTTGATTGTCACCTGTGTAATCTATAGAAATTCATGTTCGTTCAACCTTGACCCGTTTTGAATCGGCTTGTATTGAACATGTTTATGATATTTCAATTTTCTCTGATTTTTTTCGTCTGTTTGTTACTATATCGTATTTCTTTTGTTTCTGTCTGTTATATTTTTTAGTTCAATGTAACAAAATGAATGTATTTTCTACTATTCTTTTTTTTTAATTTTTGTTCCTTTTAATTTTTTCTTGCTTTTTTGTTAACTTCACTTTTTTATAGTTCTCTCGTATTTTTTTTTCTATTAAAAAGTATTTTAGTATGTATATACTTGTTTACCAGCACATTAGATACACATGTTCAAAGTATAACAGTTTATTACATTTATGTCGAGCCTACGACTTTTGTCGCTAAAGCGAGACATAGCGATCCTACATTCTGTCGTCGGCGTCGGCTAGCGACATCCACATGTTCACTCTGTGGTTAAAGTTTTTGAAATTTTAATTACTTTCTTAAACTATCCAGGATTTCTACTAACAGAAGAATGCTTATAATCATAAGATAGTATGCGGAAGCAAATTTTGGAGAAAAAAAAATCCTGGTTATCTGTGTTTCACATGTATAAATGGACTTAGTTTTTTTTCTCAGTTAACATTACATTCATTCTGTGGTTTAAGTTTTTGAAATTTAGATAACTTTCTTAAAATATCCCGGTTTTCTACCAAACTTGGATGGAAGCTTGTTTATGATCACAAGATAGTATCCAGAAGTAAATGTTGTAGAATAAATCGTATTTTATTTATGGACTTAGTTTTTCTTCCAGCTAACATTATTTTCACTCTGTGGTTAAAAGTTTAAATTTAAAAAAAAAACTTTCTTAAACTATCCTGGAGTTGTACCAGTGGCACGCGAAAGAGATGGGCTCGATTCAAACATTTTCAATATGATGGTAGTTGGCACAAATAACAGACAGGTAAATTCTTCGCCCGGGGATATGTATTTGACATTAATCTTCATTCGGTAACTTTACAATACCCAGCCGTGTCATTTCCGTATATTGTACATGTAGATAGCACGTGTGATACATGTATATACACTAGAAATACCCATTCAAGTGAATTTAATCTTTTAGAAGAACGCCATATCGGGTAACATTAAATATACATAAACATAAAATTACAATTAAAAAAAAATGATAATAATAAGTTCAAATGTTGCTTTATTAAATGCACCTAGGTACGTATTTGTAAACTTATGTTATGACTTTATTTCATGTATCTTTTTTGCATTCTTTTTTGGATTCAATAACATATTTTTTTCTAATTGACTCTTTCGTAAATCGAAAAACGCATGAACCTAAATAGAATCATATAGCATTGAATAATTTCTCCAACTCAAAACTAGTTATTGATGCCTCTTATATTTTATTTTTCTCGTTGGGTTGCTTGTCCATTAATCGATGTTTACGCCATATTTTTTTTTTTCTTTATTTGTAAAAAGTCGCTCATCGATCAATTTCACAAGAAATCTAATACTCGTAAGTCATGAACATTGAAGTTTAACTTGCTATCATTTTTTCGTATACGCACAAAGATAAAATAAATGAAACACTTTTAAGCTGTTTAAATCATGCAGTGAATTTTGAAAATGTGGTTTTGAAAAACCGGTTATTTCTGTTTAATACTTGTCTGCCCCTTTTCTTAATAATTAGGACACGTGCCACTGGTACATATAGAACTAGTCAACCATGAATAATTGGTTTGTCATACTTGCTTATCAATTTCGTATTGTTTTCGGCTGAGACTACTATAACAGTTATAGTAGTCTCAGTTTTCGGCAATAGTGTAACAATATCCTTTAGAATGTTAAATTGCTTCTGTCATTTAATATATATATTTTTTTTTCGTGATTAATATTTTTAGATTGATAATATAATTGCATAACTTTTTAAGCATTATGTATATGACTTTTGATATTTATTTAACGTGCATACCGATTTGATTGGCAAATAACTGTTTAAACACTTGACGCCATATTAATATTATACATGAGCGTTTCGGAAAAATTAGGCAGATATTTAATCATCGGCTCTCGGGAAAGTTTTCTTGTAGGTTAAAAGA